GTGTGTAGTAGAGAGAGAGAGAGAGAGAGAGAGAGAGAGAGAGAGTTTGTTCCTAAATATGTATTCGAATACGAGTATATTTGCTGAAGACTAAGATCAGAGAGAGAGAAAGACAGGAAAGCTACACATACAAGTGCTGCCTTTCTGTTCCCATGTGCAGGCATAAAAAGGTAAATATGCAGGTATGTGTGAGAAATGAACACAACCGAAATTGAGTTAACCCACATTTTTTTTAACTAAAATTTGATTAGTGTTCGGGATGAACGGAATACATCAACCCAGATGATGAAAGTGACACATGAAAACAGTAGGGGATTCCATATTTCCATTTTTTCCATCAGATATTCTATTAGAAGGTTGGCCAAAGAAAATATATCTCAACACCAATATATAAGTAATTAGACCTGAGCTGGTGGATGGCGATCCGCAAGTTGAAAGGCGAGCAGCTCATGAAAGAGGCAACCATAATAGTACTGGCTGGACACAGCTGTATGGCCCTGTAGCAACTCAACTGTCTTGGATAAAGCACTGAAGAGATTCTCCTCTTCTGAAATAACAAATGCTACTTCCAAGTCAGAGTAAACCTGTAAAACAATATCTTCATTCAAATATTGAACAAAACAACTATTTTTTTCTACCAATCAGACACACACATAAAGACACCAACCCACTTAGGATACTCGCGCAGCAATGTCTGGGCATGCATGGGCAGAGAGAGAGAGATATATAGATGATAGATAGAGAGAGAGAGAGAGTTATTTCCTGTGATTTACCTTGGACATGTTGGTGTCCTCTTTATTAAATAATAAGAAATGTCTTCACAGAAGAAAAGATGGGCCATTACATTAAGTTTCCGTTTTTTTTTTGGAGACGGGGAGATTTTCTCCTTGTTTTTGTGGGAAGAATAACATGGAAAGCTAAAAAGATATGAAATGTGACTAAACTAAGCCAGAGGTATTGCTGCTTCATTAGTAATACCCTACAACGTGATCAACAAAGTCAACGAAGTACCTGATTCTTAACGAGGCCACATAATATTGCCGCATGTGGGGGTAAAATATTTCCAGCAAGGTATTTCAGGACCCCATTTATAGCAGGCAAACTAGAGAGCTCGAGATGGTCAGATATGTCCAAGAAAAGACGACAACCGATCTCTCTAGTTGCTTCAAGTAGCTGCTCAAAAGAAGAACTGGTGATGACCTCAAATTTAGCCATGCCTGTAACAACAACCTGAGGTTTCAGCTTCTTGATCAGCTCGATCAATAGATCAGACTGGCGTGGAGCTTGTAACACTGTAAGCATATCCTCTGTGGACTCATTCCCCTAAAGAACAAGTTTACATAATAAGAATGATTTTATATGAGCTAAACAAGCCCGACAAGAATCTTTCTCTCTCTCTAAAGAATCTAGTGAGACCATGCCAACCATGAAGGTGTTAAGGAGAACAATGAAGAAGAGTGACCAAAATTTCGGTTAATTTCACCGAAAGTATGGATTCATTGCCGAAACCAATATCTAGGCGATGACTTTGCCACTAATAGCCAAGACAGTAACTCAAGAAGTAAGGTGACGGACCAACCAATCTGAGTAATAAAAAATCAGTGAACTTCACCAAATATTTTTGCATCGAATGGATGGAACCAAAAATCTCAGCAAATTGCAGTATCAAATTTTTTAGCCCTTGGGTAAAAATATCAGATTGTCTTTGGAGTTACAGCAAATACCTCAATAGCCAAAGACGTCAGCCACTGCTTTGGCAAGTGTCCGGTGAGATGTTCATCCACTATTGCAAGTCGTGGTGAGAACAACCGAAGAGCATTCTCTATTGCAACAGCCCTTGATGGGAACACAACCACATTCTATTACAAAAAACAAAATATCAAAAGGCGGGAACATATATTGCATACAAAATTAATTCCCCAATAGGGAAAATTACAAGAGAATTGGAAGGAAAAATTTGCTTACATTTATATCGAGTGGGATATGATGATAAATTCTCATAAAGCTTGCAATTAGATTACGGAATCTCGTGCTTCCAGCTGGAGGCTCGTAGGGGAAAGAGGAGTTCTCCTTGAGAATGCTCGCGAGATAAGCAAGAAAAGGAATTTTTTCATCTGCCACAGAGTCATCATCAAAAGATAAATCCAGGGCACCACTGACCTCTTGAAACCCATTCTTGAGAAAATCAAATATTTTCTTCACCTGTCAATACACTAAAAATTGTCAACTATGCATCCTCTATATTTCCTGTTTTCATTAATAAGAATGTAACTCAATCAAAATAAAATCAGAATGTAACTAAAGAAGATTATGAAAATGTCATTCTAATAGATGCCGGAGGTTAACAGAGCGAGAAAAAGAGAGAGAGACCTGGCCTACAACAATACAGAATGAGTTGGTCTGATAGAAGAAATTTTAACCTGATTTGGTTGACGAAGTTCACAACTGTATACTGACAGAGAATGGGAGATGCGACCCCCAGCCTTTCCATATGCCCATGCTGTTCGAGCACAGATGGGCTGGTCACCAGCAAGACCCATGAAGAATTCAAAGCGATGGTGGCTATTTTTCTCAATCTCAACCAAAGCTGAAATATCAGTGTCGGCAGCCTGAAAGACACACACATTTCATGTTGTCCATGGTCTTCAGACATAAGTCGAAAAGTCATTGAAAAAGAAAGGCATGATGTGAGACAATGAAGCTAGTGCATGTGCACGTGAACACACACATAGAGAGAGAGAGAGAGAGAGACTAACTTGCTAACCTATCACACATGCATGCTTATTCCGACACCTAAGCCAAAGGGCTTGAATATTTAATTTTTGGGATTGCAAATGAATTTCAACTGTCCATGGAACATGACAAGTACCTGTATTACTTTTGTCTGCCAAAGCTTTGTAATACGAAATCCTCGGCGTTCGAACAAGCGCTTGCAAACGGCTTGTCCTGGTCGACCTCCAATGTTGAATATCATGAAGCCCATGGGCTGAATGACTTCTATTCCCTCCTCCACAGCCCTAGCAATAAGACCTAGGCCAAATTGGTCCTCAAAAAATCCCTGAAAAGAAGCACAAACTCTAAAATAAACAAATGGCGCATAATCACACAATCATAAGGGCAGTGAATTTCTTTAGGTGACCATAGGATTACTACATTGATGTTGACAATGAATCTGAGTAAATCCATCATTTAAAATAATAATAGTAACAAAAAAAAAAAAGAGGAACTCCCTCATAATAATAGGAAATTGATGCCCCTAAAGGAGACTTGTGTAATATTATAGCTCCAAAAATAAGGAGAAGAAATTTCCGGTAACTATATCTGTGTAATTGTGTTTGAAACTTTGGATTCTTGCAACTTAAGCTCAATACATTCCGGGTTTCTCTCTGGAAATTGTTGCAAACTAGCAAAATGTGACATTGGGAAAGCAGGACATGTAGACTCCAGGCTAACAGAAGTAAAAATGGCTGACATATGTGAAAGAAACAATAGAAGGTAAGCCTTTTAATATTTTAAACAGAAGCAACATGGTGTAGAGGTTGGATGTGTGTGTGTGTGTGTGTGAGAGAGAGAGAGAGAAACTCAGTCCCAGTACCTGAAGTGCACAATAGTTACTTAATGAATATAAAAATTCCTCACTGGCATTCTCTGTAATCATCTTTGACATTGCCTCAGGGTTTGGGTTAAGTATCTAGAAAAGGAAAATAAATCATGAGCTGATGAAAAAATTAGATTGTTGGAAACAATAAATAGATCCAAGTAGATCATGAGCTGATAAAAAAATTAGACCACTAACATCCGCAATACAGCATACCAGTAGATCCAAGCATTGAATGAGCAAAAACTTACAAGGGAAAGCTGTACTCCAAAAAGAAAGAAAAGGATTGCCTGGACATACAATGATAATACAATCGTTACATTAAAATTAATACCTGTGGTATGCATCCAACAATGCGATCGAGTATTATGCTATGGTCTCTACAGTACGCTAAAAGATCTGACTCATGGAACTCCACTCTATCGAGCAATGTTTTCTTATCCTGATCGTAGATAGGCAGTCCATTCTCATCCAAAGCATTAAGATATAAATTTATCCAAGCAACTTTTATTGCTCTGGGATTGATGTCGAGGCCATAAACCTGTAAGAAGAATTTGTATATTAAGTGAGACAAAGAGGTCAGGAAAATGAACAGAGCGAAAGTGGGAGAAAGTTTCAGCAATGCTATCTAACTCATTGAATGTCAATAACAAAACAGAAGTGCTTCATTATTAAGGCTATGCATCACTCCTTTCATGGTTGGTAAGAACTGATGTTTCATCTGGAGAATATCACGAAAGAATAACAAGTACCTTTGAAGGGCACCATTTTTCTGCGAGAGCAATAGAAATCCATCCATTTCCACAACCAAGCTCAGCAACTGTCTTGTCTCTGAAGATAGAATCAGGATGCCTATTTATACCTTCATAAAAGGTAAATGACCAATCTTCTGGAATAAATATACTGGGAATTTCCATCATTGTCAGCTTCTTCCTATTCTGACCTGAAATAGTAATGTAGAGAAGGTTCACCAAGAATCCACATGAAATTGGAATTGAAGCTATTGACACCATCCACAGAAGCTAGATTAGCATATTTTGAAATTCAGCGCATTGGATATAGAGCATGATTGCTATGTTCTGTTTCAAAAATATAAATTTGAATTATAATCGATCCTCTCTTCTGGGATGGTTTAGATAGGTTTGCATGAGGAAACAAACCCCAAACTTCAAAGACCTGACCTCCCTAATGCCAACTGGATGACACTCATTTCATTCAAAATGCAATGAGTAATTTAAGAATATTAATTCTCACTTAGACTACAATTCATGAAAGATGATACATAAATAATAATAATTTATGAATGCCAAGAACCGCAAACAACCCACAAAAAACTCACCACATCAAACAGATAGCTCTCAGATCAAAAGTAACATAGGATTCATAAGTCACATAGAAATGTTTGAATTCAAACAAGACAACATGAAGGTAGATTTAGGTGAACCCATTGTTATCTCAATTAGAAGATCAAAATGCACCTCCACCACAATATATATGATAAAACAACAAGACCTTGTACCACCCAATTGGAGTTTTGAATCAAAACTTTTGGTCTGAGCCTCTGAGGAATTTCGAATGTTCAGAACAGGAAACAAGAAAAATCCCAACAATTGGAATGTTGAGACTTTACAATTTCCATATTCAGATTCTTGAGTCAATTGTGAGTAGTTGTGGCCATTCTATTCTTCACATGGACCATCACGTGTTGTTGCCAAGTGCCCAAACACATAAGTTCACATTCCTTGACAAAATATATAGTAGAGATTAAATGTGATATTGATCGGAGAGTTGAAAATGTGATTTCCCATTCATAAGTTGGCCATGCATCCCTTCCGACCACAAAGAAGATAATAGGAGGACAAGTAAATGTGATTTCCTATTCATAAGTTGGCTCAACTACAAAGATGTTAATAGGAAGACGAGAAATGAGAAGAAAGGGAAAGAAATGCACAATTGCGATTGGAGAACTCGTTATTCATAATTGGTAAGTATGATCAAAGATGCCTTTAAAGTTCAAATTCATTGAATGTCCATTCATAGGTAAGGGATGGGTATCAAACTGGATTAATTCATCGATGATGGATGGGTATCAAACTGGAAAGAACATGGCAGAAATCATCCCTGATTAGCTTCCATTTTATTCATTGCACTTTAATTTTGTGAATTATTTCTCTCCAAGGACGAACTTAAATCAGGATTCGGCTTTATCTCTGTCCATCCATGACAGAACAATAACAAAGAAATGTATCATCTGTGTGTGTAACATTTCTCTAATTCCATCTTTGTCAAAGTACCAATTGACTAAAAGGACAGATACATCAACAAAACAAAAGCAAGCATTCAAGAGCACACACACACACAAAAAAACCAAACAGATCATAGAGTGAAAATTTCGTGTAAAATAGAAAACAACCATTGAAAGAACTTAGATAAACTCTAACCAGAAACACAGTGAAAATTGAAAAACAAAAAATTCACAAATTTTATTTCTCGAAAAAACCATATTTTTAAGTACCTTACAATCATTCCATGTAGCAATTAATCACCCAAAAAAAAAAACATCTCACAAGTGGCAAGAGTCACTACTACACGGATAACCAGATCATATGTCAAAATTGTACGTGTAATCTAATGTCTAAGAACCTTAACCAGCATATTCTAAATCAACCACACATAGAAAGTAACACGATTTCTTATACCCGGTCAATGTGACATACATGGAATAAACAGTTCATACATAAAATTTTGTGAATGTAGATTTTTGTCCAAGGAAAATATGATCTGTTTAAAAAAGGTAACATCACAAATCCAAACAATACACATCAATAATGCATGAGGATATGGATAAAAACAAATATTTTTTAGTGGGAACACCCTGAAGTAATCCAGTCAAAGAATAGGCATAGAAAATCCTGATAAAATTTTATAAACTTTTTCCTTTATTCAAAACTGTTTTACAATCGTTTAGAGAACAATTGCTGATACTGAAACTGGAAAATGAAGCTAGAGAGAGAACGTAGGGAAAATGAGAGCAAGTCAACCTTCTTCATTGGCAAGGAGAACATCATGGATCCTGAAATGGTAGTCAGAGAAACACTTGAGAGAAGATTCCTTGGATTCAAACCTCCTTTGAAGCGAAGCCAAGAACACTCGAGTTTCAGATCGAGTGCTCGGGTTCTCGAGCTTCTCAAGGATTGCTTTGAATGCATTGTAAGCTGAATCACCAGATTCCTCGCAGAGTTTCAAGAATTCTTCCATGGCCACTGTGTAATCCTTAACCATTTTGAAAGAGAGAGTGCACGTGAATTCCTTTGTAGAAAATGAGGAAATAACAGAAGCTGCACAAAAACTGGTTAGGGACTATGTGGAAGAGAGGGAGAGTAATGAAAAGTTAATGAGGAGGAGTTGCGGAGAATGAGGAGGGTGATTTTGGCGCAGAGAAAGAGCAAGATTTATAGGGGTATATATCGCCGACCGAAAGAGAGACATAAAACACTTTTTCCTTCACTTATTACTTTTTAATTGATCATGCGCGCCATAAGTCATTTTTTATTATAACACGTAAATAAAATAGGTATGAAGTTTAATAGGAAAAATATGTTCGTATAGTTTTTCGTATCACGTGTCCTCGATAGTTTCAAAGTTTCAAAAATATCTCTTAACTTTACTACTTTAAACATATTTTTTAATTTAAATAAATATGCATAAGACATGTTTTTTTTAAAACCAATCATTTTTATCTCTTCACCTATATACCCCAAACTTCTATCTTTTTTCTCTTCACTTATTCACCTCAAACTTGTCTATTCTTGCTCACCCTCTCTCCATTGTATTTTCCGCATACCTTTCTCTCTCCTCCCAAAAACCTCTCATCTCCACAAACCCTTTCTCTCTCTAGAACGTCAGGATAATGGCTTTTACAAAGTGCATATCTTTTTAAATTTGTTTGGCCTCAAAAAAACAATTTTAATTAACTTACCGGATTAGAAGAAATAAAATTTATAACTTTTATGTTTTAATATATCTTTTAAAACTTTGAATCTATTGTAAAATGAAGTGTTAAAATAAATAGCATAAGGCCTTATGAAAACAAAATAAAACCTCACTTTAAATCCTCTTTTGAAAAACACTCTCCACAACTTAAAATATCCACTGTGGCTTTAAAATTGGTCTAGATAATTTGTTACGGTACATGTTCTTTTTAAATTTTAAAATACTATTTTTTTTTACGACCATAATATTCGACCGGAGATGATCGATATAATTACAATTTTTTATGAATTATGAGGTGAGACTTTACTTATTTTGATAGGATTCACCCCCTATCAACTATTTTCCAGAACATAGCACAAAAGGACGTTCACGCCTTGGGCTTGACATTGATCACCTATACACCCTACCCTAGTTTTCACAAGAAAACTCATGGACCCGCCTTAAGATCATGATACTAAACCCCCTCCCTCATATATTTACTATCTAATTTATCATTTTAACCCTGTTTTTTCTTTCATTCCTACCTTCAATCAATGTCGTCGAAAAAGTTTCCCAAACCCCTTGACCCGTTTAACTCCCTCTGCCTTAGCGTCTACACACTCACTCTCTCTCTCTTTCCCTTCTCTCTATCTCTACCGGCTCAACTGATCACTTTTTTTTCCTATCTTCCAACCTCGACACGACTAGTCCAATATTTATTTGGTGAAATTAGGATTAAATGGACAAATTTAAGGATTAAGTACTATACATCTAAAATTCAGCAGCTCAACCAGTTGTTTGGCAATGCTCTCCTCCTTTATTGCAGCTACTATTCTGTCTCCTTTAATGGCCTCATCTTGTGCACGATACAAGGTTGAGAAAGCAGCAACTATCATCCCACCCTCTTATCTTACTTATCTGTTCGCAAAATCGACGAATGGTAGAGAGAGATAAAGAGGGAAGAGGGCCGGCAATTGGTTGTGCAGGTAGAGATGGCGCCGGGCGGAAGAGGGCCGGCGATTAGTTGTGCAGGTAGAGATGGTGAGAAGGGGATAATAGAGAGAGAAAGTAAATGCTAACAAAGAAGGAATTTAATGGGCTTGGGGATGGCTTTTCGAAGTATTGGTTAAAAGTGAAAATATAAAAAAAATTAGGGTTGAAATGGTAATTGAGATAATGAAAACAAGAGGGGGTTTATTATGAAAAATTTTGGGGCCAAAGGTTTTCTGTACACCCAAAACTGTACACTCGATAAAAGTCCCACCAATGGGGTAACAGTTATTTTTTTCAAAAAAAATAAATTAAAAATGACGAGTAATGATTCTATAGAACCATCTCCACCTATATATCTCCACCTATATATGTACTATTTTAAATAATCATCATTAAAGTTAATATGAATCTCTAAAAAGGTTATCGTATAAATGTGAAATTTGACTTTTTTATAAATATATATCAAAATTAATAGTAATCTTTTGTGATTAAATTCACATAAGCGAAAGCCAATCCTGTAGGATCATTTTTCAAAGATTGCACTCTAAGAGTGCAATATGGCATATGCATATGCGGTCGCCTTTTAAAAGATTGCACTCTAAGAGTGCAATATGGCATATGCAGATGCGGTCGCCTCGCCACTAAACATGATTCATTCTAGATGATGTGATGCTACATCATCGGATCCTTGATCATTTGCGTCCTTCTTGGATGCAATTTACTTTAGGTAATAGTGAGACGGCAGTCCCAATTGTATCCTACGCGCAATATGGGACATTCTGATCGACAAACCATTTGCTTTACTAAAATATTATCAAATGAGAAATTGGGGCAGCGATAATTGTATTATCTCTTTGTGGAAAATATGAAAAACACTTATTAGTTGCTGAGCACAGTCTTTGGCCCAATTTCATTGCTGATGGTATTATTAGATAGTGAATAGGAAAAATTATGGATATCCTTTGAAATGCACGATATAGACATTTAAACCCCCCGATCATTTTCTTATCACACTTTTAACACAATTAATGTTTTTCTTTGTTTTTATCCCTAAGTCAAAAAGTTGTAATTTATGATGAAACTACCATTTTTAGTATGTGTACCCTCATGCTTCCATCAACTCATGTGGCACGCCACTCAAAGCAAAAATGAGATTTCACAAAAATTTGCCCATAAATGTGGTCCAACAAAGGCACAAAAAAAAAAAAAGTACTAGATTGGAGTAACATGGCCAAAAATTCGGCCCAATAGAAACGTGCGCTAGACCAACCATTAGAAGCTACATGCTGGTCAGACACATTTTATGTGAGATAGCATTTTTTGCCATGTTTCTATGGTATGACACTTTTCTTAATGGACTGTAGCAAAAACAATGAAAAAAATGTGGTTCGGCACAAAAGCGTGCTTGATCGGTGGTAAAGCTTCTAAAATTTGAAATCTAAAATCAATCCGATACACTTTTGTGTCACACCGAAAGAAGATCTAGTGGTCCAGCAAAAAATTGTGCCCAATTGAAATCTAGCTTCAAGTTTAAGAAGCATCACTATTGGTACGACGTACTTTTGTGTCGTACCGTACTTTTTCATTTCGGGAGACAAAGAATGAGAGAGAGTTTTAACTAGTAAGGGAGGATTGAAAAGTAGTTTAATATTTTATATGGGTGTGGTTTTTATAAGGTTGTAACCTTAAACAATCCAATTAAGGTGCACCACCAAATTTGACCATACTCTATAATTTTGGAATAAAACGTTCTTACTATTATCTCAAAATCTATTTTCATATCTAAATATAAAATTTTAAACTCTAAAAATGATTAAAATCAAGTAGATCTATAAATATATGAAAATCTTGAAAGCGGACAGTGTAGATAATTTGTTGCAATATGCACTATTTTTTAAAATCAAAATTTTTTTTTTTTATATTCATACATCTCGATGTCGAGATAATCAATTAGAGGGTTTTTAAACATTAAAACAACAGTTTTCGATAGATTTTTGAAATGCATATGTATTAATACATTTTAAGGTTGCAATCTTATATAAACTTTTTCCTTTAACATATTAGATTGTGGATAAAAAACAAGAAATAAATAATAATTGGGTTTAAAGTTGTGATATAAAAAATATTAGAAGTTGTACGTCTATTGAGTACAATTCAACTGGTAATACTTGAGGGGTTTAGCAAAGATAAACATTTGTATTGTATACTTTTAAAATAATACTTTTATAGTCTTAGAGTCAATACTCATGTAAGGCCACACTCTTCAATATCAAAGTCAATGTATCGATATAGAAAAGTATGACAACAAGGAATGTATAATGACTAAAACAGCCTCTACTTTTCTCCAATGATGAGTAACCCTTATTTAGCTTTCACTCTTTGAAAATCTCTATAACCACACAAAAAAAAAAAGGCAGAGCTATTATATATAGGACAATCGTTTCACGTGGGCTGTACCGCATTTCTACATATGGGGTCTTAAAAGGGTAAAGCCTCCATCTTAAAGATGGACGGACGCAGATACGTGTTCTATCCAAAAACAACGGCAACTAACAGTCCAAATGCTTTTTTACAATAATTATTATTTTTAATTTTAAAATTTTATTTATTTCTTCATATTCATGGTTTCCTTTTAGAGATTACATTTCTTTAAAAATAAAGTTTTAAAATCCATATCAAAAATAAATTTATTAAGAGGTCTACATTTTTACATATGCGGGCTTGGCCACATAAAAACTGGGTCATTATTTATAATAAAAAAAAATTAATAAAAAAAAAAAAACCCAAGACTACAGTTTCCGTACAACTTACCCTCAACCTAACTTTTTCTCTCACTTTGTTTCTCAAAATACACTTACTATGCAAATATCCCTCAACCAAATTAAAAATAAAAAATACCCAAATACCCTCCCGTACTTTTAACTTACCCCCACTTCTCTCTCCTCTATCCCACCAAAATAAGGGCTCCAACACTGTGTAAGTGCGGTCCGGCAATAGGGATCCGGTACTGTGTAAAGTGCGGTTCGACAATAGGGCTTCAGTACTGTATAGAGTGCGATCCGGCAGTAGGGCTCCGGCACTATGTAAAGTGTGGTTTGGCAGTTGCAAAGGGCAGTCTGGCAATTGTAAAGGGCATTCCGACAGTAGATGTTACTAGATTCTAGGGCTCTGACACAATGTAAGAGGCACTCTGGCGGTACTCAGTTTCGGTCTGGTAGTTGTCTTAGGGCGGTCCGACACTGTGATGCCAGCAATAGATGTTACTAGATTCTAGGGCTCCGACACTATATAAGAGGTAGTCTGACGGTACTCAGTTTCGGTCCGGTAGTTGTCTTAGGGCGGTCCGACACTGTGATGCCAACAGTAGATGTTACTGGATTCTAGGGCTCTAACACTACATAAAGGGCGGTTCGATAGTACTCAGTTTCGGTCTGATAGTTGTTTTAGGGCGGTCTAACAGTACTCAAATTTGGTCCAGTAGTTGTCTTATGGCAATCTGGCACTTTGATGGTCCCTCTTGTACTTCTAAATGTTGAGAGCTGATTTCTTATAAAGAAGCAGTTCCATGAAGATTTTGGGTTGTTTCTCCTTTTATTGAGATCGAGTCTCGTTTGCTATCTAGTTATGGTCTCTTCCAAAACAATTGTCTTGTTATGGAATAGTTATAAGAGATTGGCATGGGAGAGTAAGTTTAAACGGGTTTACTCAACTTAGGTTTTTGTCGAGGTTTAGATAAGTAACTATACTAAAATCTTTTATGTAACTTTCATTGGTATAATGAATTTCAATTTGTTGTGATGTAGCTCTCTCTAGGGTGAACCATATAAATATTTGTATTATATTCTTATGGTATATGTTTTATTCTTTATTTTTCATATTTTATTTGCCCAAAATCAACAAATCGGATTTAGAGCTTCTGCGCACAACAGATCAAATGAGTTTTGGGATGGTACAGCCCGTACCATATATATATATATATATATATATATAACATGAGTCGATTTGACAATCACGGATGTTCGGTAGTGCATAAATTTTATTTATTTTTCTACAAATCCAAATCACTTGAAATGTTAGGTATGTGTTCTTCTAATCAAGCCGCACCTAATAAAAATATATAAAAAAAAAATTCACAAGAAATGACAAAAATACCCCCCAAAATTTTTTTGGGGTATTTTGGTCAATTTATTTCATGTAAAATATATTTTTTGATTATTTTAAAAGATTCATCTATTTTTGATAAATACACGTATAAAATTTTAAGTGATTTGGATTT